AGAAAAATACATGAAGTTTACTCTCTGTAACACAGAAGTCACTCACGGTGCTTGAGCAGTTCCAAAGTCAGAGAACCACCTCCCCTTTGAAAAAACCTTACTTAAGTCTCAGTCGACTTGTTTTTTAGTTGTTTACAATGTTTTTTGTAAAGTAGTTTGTACACTGTGTTGTTTACGTAGCATATGTGGTGGGGGGAGTGATTTCCTCATCAGTGAATATGCCTGTTGGAGTGAGAGGCTCTGATGTACAGCCCTATCAGAGCTTTTCATCTACTCGATGGTGCCATACAGGAGAGTCAGTGCTGAGTGGAGGAGAGGTACAGTTGTCAGTGATATCACTGTGCTGTTAGCTTGCAGGAGTTGCTCTGGGTATTACCTCGGCTTGCTGTGCAGCGCAACTTGTGATGGTAAGCAAATATAGACACTCAGTCTTAGCAGGGAAACACAGCAATAACCAGAATGTGGATAAACAACAAGGGTTGATAACTAAGATATATTATTAACCATTGCATGAGGATTTACATATGATATTAATTCCCCTCACGTCTAATAGTAAAAAAAACTGTGTATGCATCTAGGGTGTGTTTGTACGCTTTTCCAATTTAAATATAGAGCGTGTTGTTTGTGTGCTACTTGGTAGATTGTTTTTGTGATCATGCAGCTTTTGCGAGTTATTTTTACGTTTTGATGCAATAACAAACACATCTGTAAGGCACTGGTGTTGTATCAGGAAGTTATGAACAGCCCCACTTGTGCCATGTTACAGGCCAGAGCAAAAGTAGCTCAAGACTCTTTACTGATGTAACAGTGTTCTTGAGTGTTTTTAAGAGTTTCATAGTTTTTTCTAAATTGCTTCCCAAAACACAGCATTTTTCAAAGATCATTGAAACATAAAAACATGGAAGCTGAAATTTATATTTTTCCACTGGAGGACTGTTAAACAAGTTAACAACTCCTTTTACTGTGTTCTTTTGTTTTGATTTTTGAACTGGATAGTCGCTCTCCAGATAATGTAGGACAATAACCACCCCAAACTAATCAGGACCTTCCCTAGGGCACATATTCCGCGAGAGGGCCAGATGAAATCGTTGAGGATGATAGCGTCATCCGGAAAAAAAAGTCAACACAGAAGATAATTGATTTTTCTCTAAACATCTGACCTGTCTGTCATCACATAGTCAAAAAAAAGTCCCAAGGTACTTTGGCAATGTTTTAGTGCACTGCTATTATGGGTGTGGTACTCACTGAAGCATAAAAAAATCTGGCATCAGGCTCACTGTGTAAATGAGTACTGAGCAAAACAAAATCACTAACATCAAATTGTTGGCTTGTTTAGAAAGCAAGTGAAGACAACTGATTTCTTTGAAATTCACTTTTGAAAATCTGAAAAATTGTACTAAAAAACAAAATAAAGGAAAGGGGGAAAGCAGGGTTATCAAAACTTTATATAAAGAGTTTGTTCACTTCTAAAAATATGGATAGGAAGAAGTACTGGACAGAGATAGGAGACTGGATCCTAAGTTCATGAAATAGTGTTCTTTTCTCATTTTGTTATTTTGTTGTATGTTTCAGTGTTCAATGGGGTACAAGGTGGGCTATTTCTGATCAGCAGAAATGAATACCAGCATTTCTATTTAAAGTTGGGGATCTTAATCACCATTGATGCTAAATAGTATTCAAGTGGTTTTTGGTGGTACACAATAAAGATGATCACACTCCGGTTGAGCTCCGGTTTTGGAACATTTCTTCCCCACCTGCAGCAATAACTTGATTTTTAAATGGACTCTTGACTCCCATTTCTTTCAAGCTGGGTTAAAAATATCCACACATTGGTCAAAAGATTAAGTTTTATATAACGAAATGATTAAAAAAATATAAAAAATGTTTAATATTTAATTACAGTGCCCTTCCATAGTATGATGAGGATCTGAGAACAGTCTGAAAATTCAGTCCAGGGCTCAACAGAAACAACTGAATGGAATCTGCATATTACTCTTTAGGCACTGTAATATAGTAATAACGTACTGGGTCATTTTACCATCTGTTTTCACTTTAAAATGCCAAGACTATGAACCTTTACCTTCAACACCACTTGCAAGTCATATCCTCCTCTTCACCCTTGTCCTTACTAAGCTGTCTTCCTCGGGCCAATGAACTCTGAGATGACTGAGATATTATTCCATTTCCGATCAGTCAGTATAGCAAACTGCACAGTCTCGACAGCCCACCGCTGCATTTTTGTCCAGATAAAAATCTGCTCCCTCATTCAATAAATCCCAAGATTTAGAAATCATAAGCAATCAGAAAGATTGCTCTAGCCTGAGAGACAAAGTGTGAAAGGTGGCATTACGGAAACAAGCAATGACTGCAGAATTAACGAAAAGATTCGGGTTTTGTGCAGGTTACAGAAATCAATAGTGGATTTAGAGGAAGAGGCTCCAGATAGTAAATAGAGTAAATACTTTTTGTAGTTAACCAAAAGATGTTGCCAATACAGAGATGTTTGGATTTATTAAAGGGAGCAGATGTTACTTGGAGCAAAATACCACTCTGTGGCCCCTTTGACCAATGATGGATCACTTGACCCCCTGTTAAAAACGATAACATTTCAGGAGTGCTGGAGGAACATTTTGTGGAACAGTATGCTAATCAATCTGCAAAATGCCATTAAAAAAACAAGGCTGGGCTGTTTTCAATTAACATATATCAGACCTGCTGCAGCGCCAGGGAATTCTCGATTGCCACGTGCTCTTATTACATAAACGAGTACTTTAGATGCGACGACACAGCTGTCTATAGATTTCTCAGAGAAATAAGGAGACGGTCAATCAATACCAGTGATTAAGGACAGCTCCAGTACAAAATCTCTGGGCTTAGTAACAGAAGCCTGGACACCCAAAGCTTACCAAGATTTGCTGTAAAGCCAATAGACCAAAGTTTTGTATGGACATGTTGTCGCTGTTTCCTGCTTTTGCATTCTCAAATTGTACTCCAGGATTATTACTCATTAATGATTACATGATTTTCCTTTCATTTAATTTCACTAGCCAAACGTAAATCAACATGACAAACATTCACAGGATCTAGTCAGGGTAAGATGATCCAAACTCAAACTCTTTTATTAAGATTAAAACATAAGTTTATTTTTGCATTGTAAAAAAATGTTTACCAAGACTGATAAGTAAGCTAATTAAAAAAAAAGACAGCATTACTAATTGATACTTTGCAAATCATATATCCTGAAATGTTGTATTTTTTTAATTACGTTACTTGAATCACTTGATACACTGTATAGGAAATGTACACTTAGAGACTATTTATGGCAATTTTAAAGATAACACATCATGCCAAAAACCCTCTATTAAACCTTCTACCCTATTTATGGGAAAGCCTATTTTAAGAAAATTGCATGCCAACTTCCCCCCAAAGTTTAACATATATTATAAAATATGTAATTATCTGTATGTCATTTTACAAATATGTGGAGATTTTGGAAATGTCTTTTTGCTGCAGGAATCTTTTTTCCCTGTAGGATTGTAAAACGTTTCTTTCTGTCTTCACGGAAATAAAACCACAACAACAAAAACAATCCTAAGGTAAGGAAAACAGTAAATCCATTCCTTGACTATAGACTGTATTAATCAGACTGGAGCTTGTGCTAACTTTCTGTGAGGAGGACTCAGAGTATCTCCCCCAATATACATAAACTCAACCATCACAAAGCTACACCCCAACAATGCTGGGGTGCATTCATACCGCTGGCTGCACAGGAGCGACTGATGTCAAAGAGCTTTGCTCTGGGTCTGTGGCATACGTGAACATAAACTGCAAACCTTCTGGTCATGAGTCTGTAGCTCAGACGTTCCATGTAGCAAGGGTCTTGAGGTTGAAGGAAATAGTGAGTAAGATAAATATTATGTATATTAATAGTTTGCTATTGTAGTATATTTGAATACACACACCCTGAATGGGACGCCAGTCCATCGCAGGGCACACAGACACAAACACACACACACACTTACACACCCTGGACAGGACATCAGTCCATCACAGACACACACAGCAGAAACACACACACATTCACACACTAACAGGACACCAGTCCATCGCAGGGCACACACAGACACAAACACACCCTCACACCAGTGCCAATAGAATCTGATTACTCTACCAGTATGTTTTCCAACAGTGTGTTTTCAAATGTCTTTTAGAATTCTTACAATATCAAAAATTGGAATAGATTTGTGTTAAATGTTATGCCACAAATCCTCTGCAATCCCGACAAGATCTTCTGTAGTTTGTGAATGAAAAAATAGTCACTACCGTTTTCTCTGAAAGCTGGGTCTTGACTGTGTCTTCACAATGAGGACATTAAATCCCAGTGTACTGCGGTTTCGAAGGTCATTGATTCAAAAATATTCCACAGAAAAAAAAGGATTTTCAGCCAGTTGCTTCAGGCTCTTCTGGCTTGTTTCTATTTTCTATGGCAGGTAAAATGAGTTATTGAAAAATCTGATGCTGGCTGCAGTTCAGGGCTGCATAATTACAGTTTATTGGAATACAGCCTGCACATCAGAACAATTCAGAAATGTTTCTACTGGGAGTCTCCATTCTTATATTTCACTACTGGCGGCTGTTTAATTGTTTAATTATTTTGTCTGTTTTTAACATCAGAGAATAAAAGGTTTTCTTCAGACATAAAATGGTAAGTTCCTGAAATAAAAACATGATTTTCCCAATTTCCCAAAAGGGTCATCTTGCAGAGAATCTGAGTTTTGGGCAGGTGTAAAAAGGATGCAGGGGATATTCACAGATTGCATCCTTACATGCTTTTAATGAAGAGCCCTGTATGTTAACCACTAAAGCAGCTAGCCTCAATGAAATGGCAATTTAGCTACCCAATCAATAAAATAAATCAAGTACATGTTGCACCATTTCCAGTTCTGAGATATTAGGACGCAGAGTGTGCACATGTCCACAGCTACCTACGGCAAACAGCACTCAGCTCAGCTTCTCAAAGTCTTCCTGGTGGCGGAGGCAGGAGCTGTGACTGAATGAAGAGATCAGAGTGCAGCTCCCATCCTGGGAGCTGTCTTCACTGGCGCCATGGCAGCGATTCAAGAAGCACAGGCAAAGTCAGCCTGCCTGAGCCTTTCCAGCCAAGCAGAGGATCTTCATTATTAAAAGCGGGAAAATGATCTGGCTTGGTTCCAGCAGAGACTCTCACCATTTTTAAGTATCGTACATAATTTCTGTAAGTATTGACATAAAGAAAGTAGAAAGTGGAGGAATCAAATTTATGAATCTTATTTTCTTAGCATTCTCTCAAGCCTCTGCAGGGAGCTTCAAAGGGTGCTATCTCTGCCTTGCTGATCCAGCAGGAAATGTAATATTATTAATCATGATAATCCTGTCAGGAGTACAGAGGAGAACTGCTGCCAGTACAAATACGCTGTGGGTGACTGTTAAGACTGCCTGGACAAAATGGGTGTTTAAAAATGTCCAGGGTCTGTACTGGGATTGAAGCAGGATGGGGGCCAGTTTAATGAAAAAGTCTGTTGCAAAATTCTAGGAAAACAAAACAGCTAATTTACTCTCTTCATTTCCAGCGCATCTTACAGCACACTTCACATAGAGCCACAGGTTCAATACAATCACAGCTGCAAAATGAGAGCTCTCGGTTTTGCTTCAGGTTTTCATTGTGAGTATTTTACAAAGGAAAAGGAAAGTGAGGAAAAAACTGGAAGAGAAAGAAAAAGACATGCATCCAACTGTAGATGTTGTTGGTTTTGGTAGTACTACAAATGCAAAAATTGAGAATTAATTTAAACGTCTGCTGCTATCAGATTGCACTGGTATGTTTTTGATGAGGTTAGCAAACCTTCATCTTTGAATTGATTTTTTTCTCTCACTTATTTCCCCCGTTATCTTGGGAGTTTTTGAAACACAGGAGGGAGCAAGTGCAAACCTGACCAAACAGCCGGGGGCTGTTTTTGCCAAATCCTCAGTGCCAATAAGAGAGGGGGTGGGAGGAGGGGGGAAGGAGAACAATAGATTTTTGTTCTTCGATATATTATTTTACAGCAGTTTAAAAGGCAGCAAAAGTGCTTATGCAAGGCTTTTTTTCCTGATGAAAAACTGCTGAAAAGGAGCAGGAGGTACATGGGAGTCAGAGAGAGTTAAGAGACAGGAAGGTGCAGAAAATTAAAGTTACAACCACACAAGAGAACTGAAAGACATGGGTGCCTGTATTTTGTTATAAGACACATGCCCAGATAAGAGCACAAAAGCAGGTATTCCTAACTGACTTCAGTTCAGTTTCGAGCAGATTAGACCCCTGGTAGTCACTGATAGTGACCCTGAAGTCTTAAATGTTGTGCATGAGCTCAGCTGCTGAACCTTCTCACAAATGATGAAGAAGAAAAAAGGTTTCCTGACTTTTGCTTTTGTCAGCACTGGCTGTTTATGTGAAAAAGTACAACTGAGCAGTTCAGAGGCCATGTGAAGCCTGGCACCAGAGAATCATTTCATCTGTTCTTGAATCTGTAAAAGTACAGCAGGAACCTTTTTACTGCTCACTAGTTACTTTTTTAAATAATAGGCAAAGATATTAACTGAGTCAAAAATGTCTGATTTTTTTCTTCTCATCTCTTTTTCCAACTTTTAGTCTATTTTGGGATCTAGAAAATGATGAAATGAGAAAAGATGATGGGGTCCACGGTTTATCTTACCACAGGACAACTAATTAAACTTAAAAAGAAATTCTAAGGCACCAATCTCTTTCACAGATCAAGGAAATCCCATGTGGAGAAAAATACCCTAAAATCTAAACTCTTGTGAGGTTTTGAAGCTGGGATATTCCACTACTGAACATTAAATTAGGTACTTTGGAAGCCTTGAAATGATACTTTGCTGAAAAAACAGTTTGACCTACAGGGAGAGATGAAGCAGCTGAACAGCAAGGCTGTGGCCCTGAGGGAGGCTGGACTGCAGAACGGTATGTCATTGAACAAAATGGTGAAATGTAGTAAAACAGTAAATAGACAGGTACCAGATAAAGGAACACATAGGCTATACTGTACATGGTAAAAATGTGAGAAAAACTGCAAAAACAGTAGTTCATACAAATGAACCATGATAAGCTTTCATAAGGAGCGAGACCAAGCTCATTCACTTTAGGCTACAGCTTGAATGTTTTCTTCTACTAATGATACTACAAGATTGGACATTATTTTTTACAGTCTGAGGCATCCCTGGGGCATTATTAGTACTACAGACTGGGACAATATGGAATTATTAAATATTGGTACAGTATAGAATTTAAGTATTACAGACCTAAATTATTGCAGACTTTAACTATTATTTAATAATTAGAGGTTGTTGTATATAGTATTTAAATAGTACTGACAACATCATTAGCTTTTTTGACACCATCTCCAAACACAATATATGTCAAGGGAAGATCACGGCTTTGTGCAGAATATTCTACGAAATCTTGCACAGAAACGCAGCACCCTGGTAAACTGCATATTGACATGCTGTTAATAATGTTTTGGACAGATGCTATTTGTGTTTAATGTTTATACTGAAAAGAAATAACTCTCCTGGGGGATGTTACTTGAGATAGGGGTCTAACTGAATTGGTAGCCTTGTCTGAGGGGCATTGAGAGGGCAGAGGCCTTGTTGTCCGTTACAATGTATCTGTTGTGAAAAATCCACTCCACACTTTACAAACCACTTTTACCAGTTAGTAATCAATAAATCAATCAATGAGACTGTTGGCCCTAAGATCAAATGATGCCATTTTCAGTGCAGACAGTATGTCAGACTGCTAAAGTCTGGTTACAACAGGGTGTCCTGTACAGGAATGGGGCATAAAAAGTGATCAAATTCATGCAGGCTTTAAACAGCTAAAAAATAGTTAAAATTGTGCTTTGGAGGAAATTCAAAACCAACTGATCTCTTACTGTTTTTTCTGATGGAATAACTGTCCTGACTCTGTTCATATCTTTGGATCACACAGTGGAAGGTGGGACGAGGCCTTCCTCACAGTTTGTATTACAGCTGTTCCTCTGGAAATAATTGCACCCATTATGAGCCCAAATACTAAGATGCTTTGCATAAATCACATCAGTAGAGGAATTTTGTTTTGTTTTTCAAGGGGAAAAATGTTAGGAAAGCAATAATGGGATTTTTTGATTTATGGCTGCACTCTGTTTTGTTTAACAAGTATTAAGATGGCACATTCCCTGGAGGCTTATTCTGTTTACAGAGCAGTTCTCCCTGCAGGGCCTCTCCTGACCCACATGTCAAACAGCAGTCTAGTTAGAGACTCTTAAACTCGAGATTTTGTAGGAAAGGTCAATTCGTACGAAACGCACTTTCACTGAAAGTGTTTACAGTGAAGTTCTCCAAGAAGAAAAAAAACACAAAATGTCTGACGCTGTTAGTTGTTAATAAATGAGCAAAGATTAATTCTATGCTAAAAAACAGAAAGAAGAAACACGTTTCAACTGCTAAGTCTTCTTCAGGTATCACCTGAATCACAAGAAATGCTCTTCACAGTAGGACAAACAATACCTTGATCTTACAACAGGGTCACAGATTCTAGATTCCTACCATAAGACAACTACAGGGTGTTAAGGGAGTCATCTTTGTAACATTTAATGAATAACACATTCATTCATCCATCTGTTCATCCATTTTCTAACCACTTCATCCAATGCAGGATCGCAGGGTCGAAGGGAGCCGGAATCTATCCTAACAAGCCATAGGTGCAAGGCAGGATACACCCTGGACACGACGCCAGTCCTTCACAGGGCAAGCAAAGACATGCAAACACAGATGAAAGCCAATTTTCCCAGAAGCCAACTACGCCACCAGCATGTCTCTAGACTGTGGGAGGAAATTGGAGCACACAGAAGAAACACATCACGAACAGGGGGAGATCATACAATCTCCAGGCAGGTAGCACCCCAGGTCTGGAACTGAACACAGGGCCCCAGCACCGTGAGGCAGCAATGCTGACCCCTGCACTACAGTGGTGCCATTACTGCATAACTACTATCTCCTAAATGAAATAGCTTAGTCAATAGGTATATATATTACATTTGCAGAGTACTTTTATGATAATTTACTATAAGAAAATAAAACCTTTTTAGAATATGTTATCTCTGTGGAAGACATTAGCCTAATGAATAATACTAAATACCACAGGAATATAAATAGTAATAGGAAAACGCAACATCATATACATAAGCAAATGTTTTCACACACTTGTAAGAGTTCTCTATACAAACTCTGGTTAAGGATAATTATCCTTATAATTATCTACAAGCCCCCTGTTATTGCTGTTAATACCTTTAAACTTTTATAATGGCAGACTGTCACAAAGATGATTTTCACACAGAAAATTCTGAGGCAAAACCTCAATGATCAGATTAAACAAGAAAACAAAACAGTCTTACAATATTTGTTCCTTTGACAGTAAGATAAGTTATTGAGTATGACAGGTGAACAGGTGTAATAAGAACCCTAAATACACCTGTTAGTCTATATGAAATAAGCACAAAGAAGAAGGACTAATATCCAGGGATTCCTATGGAATGACTTGACAGAATCTGGTACATCAGGTCATAGGAGAATAACATCTGATGAAGGAAATATTTTTTATTATAAGCAAATATAAACTAAAAAATGATACAGTGTGATCAGAAGCTGGTTTGCAAGCCCTAAGCTTCAGAGGGAGATGAAAAAGAGAGGCTGACAGTCAAATGCCCTTCAGGCCTGCTGTTCTACATGGTGGCAGGTCGGGTTTGGATCTTCAGAAAAGTGAGATGATGCGCTTCTGACAGAAAAGATACCAGGCTGTTCCTGGTGTGGTGAAGCACTCATCCCAGTCCACAACAGAAGTGCAGAGGAAGAAAGGAATCTCAGCACTGGGCTGGCCACGGAGGCTACATGACTATTGAAAAACATACATTCCTGAAACATGCCAAGATGTTTTGTAAAGCCCAAAGCAGGCTGTAATCAAAGCCCAAGAACAAACTACCTGCTTGTTTAGCCCGTGTGACTACGCTCATCCACAATGTCCGCCATTGGAATGTGATTCAATCTGTAACAGTCTGAGTGCTGGTTTATGAAAACACATGCAGTATGTAACTCACAATACTCCAAGTCTTATACTGGACGAATGCAGGAACAAAGTAAACATTTTTCCTAAGCATTGTATTTGGAAGTCCTCATTCCTTGATGGTGAGAAAAGGCAATGCGATACTGTTGTCGGCAGTAGAGTTACAGAAAAAATAATAATGCTACAAGTCTGATATTTGCCTTGGCAGACGGTGTCACAGTTTCCTTTCCCCAGCTGAGGGCAGACCCATTCCCTGCTCCATGAGGGTCCTCCCCAAGAACAGCAGCCAGTGCGAAACCACGCAGTTTCCAGTCGTGACAAACCTAGGGGAAATACAGTTTGGGACTGCTCGCCGAGTGTGGCAAATATCCCAGCACTCACTGAGAAGAACTTCGCTTGCACAAACTTAACCCGGAACAGACTGCTATGTTTAATATGTTATGATATTTAACAAGTTTCGAGCTTTAATAAATAATGTTCTTTCCATCCATCTATTTTCTAACCACTATATCCAGTACAGGGTTGCGAGAGGAGCCGGAGCCTGTCTCAGCAAGCTCTGGGAGCATGGCAGGATGTGTCCTGGGCAGCACACCTGTCAATCATGTTCATTACCTTAACATACTGAAGTTTTTATATCTCTATGTGCCTATATGCCCAAAAATGGAGGAACAGTTTTTTTTTTAAGAATCCCTTGTTTGACAAAGTGTTTGTTATTAGAATGCCCACTTCACCCATTTCTGAAGTCCAAGACCCATCTGAGTGATACTCAGCAGCCAGTATAGACCAGCAACCCCAACACACAGCAGATCACGGAGAAACAAGAGGAGAAACTCCATCACCGTTGAATTAAGGGGAACATTTAATACAGCTAGATTGTTCAAACCCAGAGTGGCCTTTACCCATGGCACCAGGGGAAAATGTCCTTTCTCTTATGAAACATACTTTAAAGACCTCAGTTTAACATTTGGAAGATGTTGTATCTTACAGCCACAATACTGGGGAACTGGAAATTCAGGTTCAGAGAGAAGAGCACCACCTACTGGTCCACCAACACTGCCTGCACAACCTCCTGGTTTTCCTTAGAGGTCTCCCATCCAAGAACCAGCCAGACCAGCCTTGCTTGGCTTTGAAACCAGACAACAAGCTTGAAACACTGCTGGTAACTACAACACATAATAACTACTGTACATCATTAAAACAAAGTTTAATCTAAAAAGAAACTTGCCATAAAGTCAGGCTAAGGCCTGTTTGAACTTGCCTACCTGTTAGATTGCAAAACCCAGAAGTTCTACTGTTTCTTCAAGTAAACATCCTGGCTGATTTGTAAGAACCTGATAACCCCGAATTTCTGCATCAAGCACTGGCAGGATTCAGACACCAGCGGCTGAAGAGACGGCCCACAGGCTCAGCAATGAAAACATAGATGAAACATCCAAGAGACAAGCTTTTTCAACTTCAATTTTAAAGTGAATTCCAAGGCTCCTTCCTTTGTAGACAAAAACAACCATTGATGGCTCTCAAGGAAAGAAGTCTTTCTAGGAACGCAAGAAAAGAATGTATCATCTTTCAAAGGATGGAAGCAGAACAAATTCTAGGAAACGTAACCACCTACCAATAATCCAAACAGCCCAAAAACACGACAGGACAGCCTCCAATTAAACACTAGCTGGTCACATCCAATATGTAATATACCGCACCCTCAAGGCCTGTCAGAAGGCATGAGCAGAGCGGAGAAAGTTTAAATGATTCACAATTATCTTGGCATAAGAAACATTTATAACAGCAGCTGGAATTTAGTTTCAGCCCATTCACGCAGGAAATGTGAAACTGAAATCAAACATTTAGACCTAGATTTAATGCCATTTTTAGCTCCACATGAAGCCTAACAGGAACAGTTATGTTTGAGAAGCACAGTGAGGCAGGATCATTGCCCTTCTTATCTACAATAAATGACATCTGATGATGATAATAATGAAAACACCATCCCTCTTCTCTTTTAAAGTTGAAATAAGCACATATCAGGTATTGGACAGTGTGTGTGATTTTCATTCTCTGAGTTCACTCCTAAAGTCCTCTAAAGGAGTCTCTATTGTCCTCAAAAAAGAGCTTAAGAGTCACGTAACAGGAAAACAAAAGCAGTTGAATAGTCCCACCATTGTTTTAAAAAACTGGTGGATTTGGAGGTAGCATGCTTCCATTGTTGTTTTCCTTTCCTGACAGACACACACAAACTCCAGTTCACACAATATGAAACAAAGCTTTTCTCATAGAATACTTTTGGACTTTGGCCTTCTACCTGTTTAAACAGAAGTACATGTCTTCCTAGCTGCTCTGGCACCTGAATGGCGATTTCAAAAACAAGGCAAAGATTACCACAGTACCAGCTCTACCAGTCATTGTGACCTAAAAATAAATTATGCAAATGTTGAAAATGTACATCGCTTCCATCCAGTTTCTAGCCACTATATCCACTACAGGTCTGTGGGAATGCTGGAGCCTATCCCAGCAAGCAATGAGCACAAGGTTAGACACCAGTCGATCACAAAACACAGGAAAACCTACACCAGGGCAATTTTTCCCAGAACCCAATAAACCTACCAGTATGTCACTGGACAGTGAGAGGCAACCAGAGCACCTGGAGGAAACCCACCTGAACAAGGTAAGAAAATCCGAACTTCACGCAGACAGCACTCTGGTCCTGAATTGAACTGAGGGCCCCAGAGCTTCGAGAAAGCAATGCTAACAATACAGACACTCTATGTCTGTGTGTTCGCCCTGTGGTGGATAGGTGCCCCATCTTCGCCCATTGCTTCCTGTGATGGACTCCCGCTCCATCCCTGTACTCGAGGAAGTGGATAGAAAATGGTTGGATGGATGGAAAGATCTCATTTAGGAATCCTAGGTTCGGTTCTAGTTAAACTTTTAATCTAACAGTGTACCAAAGTTTTGGAAAGTTAAAACCATGACCAGAGAAAATCATAAAACAAGAAAGCAACATTCATATACATTTGTTCTGTTTGTGAAAAAGATCTTTGTAATAATCAGTGAAAAGCAAAAATAATAAAACGAGAACATGAAATCTAAGAAAAGTAAAGAAATCTTAACTACTGGAAGTGGCTTCAGGCTGGTGGGTCGCTATGCTGATAGTGGGTTCTGTCCATGGTGCTGATACATTTCATTTTAAATCTGGTCCGAGATCTACAAAACTCTTCACAATGTGACAAGACCAAAAAACGTCAAGGAAGCAGGAAGTATCCACAGGTAATGGAGATATTCCAGAAGCAGCTTAGTAGTTTTGATGCTATCCTCCTTCTGATGCACCAAGGTAAATTCTCTTTGGGATTTATCTCATAACCATACACCCAGCTTTTTAGCTAATTGGAACCAGGCCTGTCCAGGCCTTGTCCTAGAAGCCCAATGTGTTCACCTTTGGTTCCAACTCAGTACTTAACAAGCTAATCCACTAGTTACCGATTTAAATGGACCAGTATAATAGCATCTCTCAGCCCTTCAAGTGCTGCTGCCTGAAACTGACCCAGAAAGCCTATAGACAACCTGTCCTTCCAGAAGCAGGATTGGACAGCCTTGCACAGAGAAAAGCGCAACGCTTCATTTCACAACTGGCTATGACACTGTGCAATGCATGCTGTCTAATGGTAACACAACTCCTGTCAGAAACCTGTTGTAACACTTTCTCAAAGCTATATGGTGCTAGAAAAGAATGCATTGACATTTGGTTGTTGTAGCAATAAATACGTGCAAAAGAAAATGAAAAGGAAGTTCAGTAAGAGTTTTGTAAAGTTTTACATCTAGATCAATGCATGGTGGAAAATGAGGTAGGACCCCCCTGCAGCACAGTCTACTTCACAGTGAGATTTGAAGGAAACACTTCAGGCAGTGTTGAAGAAGTTGGGGGGGGTGGGGTATTGCTCAGTAATTGAATATACACGATGGTACACAAATGCATAAATTAAACTATTTACTCTGACCTTACACAAGGTCCTCAACTTTATGTAATATGTTATTTTGACATATTCTACATTTAAATATATATTGGCCCTGTTTCACTATAACAATTATACAATGTTAATAGATTCGAAGTCCATTACTGCCTCACATTCAAGCTGTATCTGGAGTATCTGGTTCTGGAATAACGACTGTGCTTATAAAGATACATGTGCCCATGCTGGCACCTTCCAGTACCACAATCACAAGCTGTGAACTTCAACATATAAGAGTGGCTCTCCTGATTAAAAAAGATGGTAACGTCCAAAGGTCTTAGAGAGATGGTACTTGTTTAGATCTCCATGCTAGAGGTGGGATATTTTTTATACAGCTTTATTGCACATAGTCCTTTGTATACATACTGTACATATACAAATAATCTTTATGAAAACGAGTATCACCATCACGATTCAAGGGGACAGTATGAATAATACAGACAATACAAGCTAGTCTAATTTTTATAAAATTCAAAACATAAGAAATAGACAGGCTAACAAAGCACAGCAAAATCTATCATTTAGGTTATTTTTTAAAATATATTGGGTTACCTTACTTTCAAACCAGCTTAAGCCCAACATAAAAAACATCTGAACAACATCCATAACAACTATAATTCGCACGTGAAAGATACATTTTAGGATTTTATTTTCTTTTTGTTTTATAATGAAAAATACTGTATAGGTGACTGCAGGCAGTGGTTTCAGATATCTTGAGTGTAAGGATATTGAGGCAGCATAACGCTGCTCCCACATGGTATTAATAACCTGCTTGGACAACGTGCCCAAAACCAGCTAGGAGTGCTGGCTGGCTGTTTTCCCTCTGCTCCCAAAAGCAGAGGGAATGAATCTGCTACGGTCCAAAGGTCAAAACTGAATTGAATTTAATTTTTCTTTTTTAAAAAAAAAAAGTAAATTTCACAAGTCACTTGCTCCTAAAATGGTGATTAATGAGCTGCAGCTGGGGCTGTAATCAGCGAGACTCTCTGTAATTCATGAGATGGTGCCCTGCTCTTCCACATCGCCTCCACCAGGCCCTGTGCTCCCTCACAGCAGGTACAGTAAACGTAGCGCCTCTTATTTCACTAAATACAGATGATTTTTTTTGGTGTCAGGCTCTATTCAGCTCTGCTACACTAGACCACTACACTACAAGCATTTTCCTTGCCTGGAGAAAATGGGGGCTAAACTATTGAAAGTAAAGGGAACCTGAAATGGGTTAATGGGCGCCACATTCCGCATTTGACTTCAGTCTCCCCTTTAAAAATTCCTTCTGTTTATTTTGATAGAGATTCTTGGCAGGGCTGCTTTTGGAGCGAAACACAAACAGCCTATGGGCCACAGAGCGGCACAGCTGCTCGGGTTGTGGCCAGCCCCCAACATCCACCCCTTCCACACTCATCCACACTCACCCCCGCTTCCTCTCTCTCCACAGCAACACTGGCAAGAAGAGAGCTTGGCTGCAGACAGGCAGCTGGCGAGCTGCTGCGGCCCGACTGCACAGACTCCCCCACCTCCAGCCCTCTTCACGCATGTGTGCGGCTCCCAGTCTGAAGCAGTTGAAGCACACAGAGCCCTACACTCTTGTGACTTTCAATTAACCAGCACACGGCACCCCTGGAGACAGTGGGCGGAAGAGCAGGGGGGAGTGCTGGATAAGAAGGGGTGGTGGGAGTCTTTTCAGCCGCGGTCAGAAGGTATTCAAGCCTGCACAGACTGCACTTCAGTGGCTAAGCCGTCGCACATTGTTAATTCGCTTCTTGTGCCTTCTCGAGTGAGGAGAAAAATAAAGGCGTGATTACAGGGGGCCGGGGCTGCTCGCTGGGCTCTGTCCCGTTCGCGGAGGGAGCCGCTGCCCGCTGTCTGCATGCTCAAGCTGAGAGGGTGCATGTCAGCTAATTGCCGTCTCGGGCCCTGGATCTTTAATCTCCTCAGCTCTTAAACTGGACTCCCTCCTCACCTTCTGTTAGTTTTTAATCCATTAAAAGTTTTTTTAGGACTGAAATTTAAATAATCCATACTGTAAAACTCTGCTGTAACCCTTCCCTCTCATGAAGGCACTATAGAGTAGGTACTGTCTTCGGAAGCAACAACAAATGATTCAGCTGTGGAAGTATGCAAAATCTTGTCGTGCTATGATATGACCCATACTCCCCAGTTTCTCCAGCAGTCCATACCTCTGCCTCTGCAGTGTAAACATTAAGACTCCTACAGAAGTGTCCGTGTCACACATTGTGTCAGTGATGGCTGAAGTGTATGATTATTTTTGTAGTTGGCGATGTGTTACAAATGTGTTACAAATATTTCGTGATACAGTGGCTCATTGTCATAATGTAAGGCACGGTATTAGTTTCCTTTCCATTTTGACAGGTTGCTTTGTTTTGGAGGTCAGGCAATGAAATTAAACTACACTCTGAAGGTCTTTTTACGGTTATCTACAGTTCTCTGTTCAGAGTCAGACTTGAAAAGCTACCTCTGTACAACACAAGAACCGGCAGTTTTATCTTTTATCTGAACCTCATCCCAGTTATTTTTTATATCTCTTATGCTTACAAATAACCAAAGAGCCACCCTCATCAGCTACTCCGTTTCATTTCTTACTTGACTGCAAAAAACATCCCTTTTCTAACAACCCCCCTAAACATAAGTGTTTTACCTGAGCCCTAATAGGACAAAGTGAGGAAGCTGCACTCTTTCTGGGTGACGATTATTCTGTCTACTAATTCACAGCTCATATTAGTTAATAGACAATACAGAGAAAGGTTTGTTAAAAACCAAAGGTATGAAGTTCCACAAGCCAAGTCCTAGATTTTTAAATTGATAATAGTGGCACAGGACCTTTATATTACAAACAATTTTGTATACAGCTTCAAAAACACACCTCCAGGCACACCTTCTGAACTATATATATATGGAGTACTTTCACCAAACAAGCACTGCTGTTGGTTCTGGCATTTCTATATCAAGGGATGTTATGTTAAAATCTTGTTATGCCCCAGTAAGCTCTTGTTTAGAATTCTGTGTTTTACAATTTTGGTCACTTTGATTCCTGCTCTGTCCAGAGAAGAGCAACCAAATGCTTTCCAGGATTTAAAGGAATGTCCTAAAACACTTTTTGTCTTGAACAGAAAAGAGAGTTATTAGGGGACCTAATACATCCTGTATATTCAAATACTCAAAGGCACTGACAGTCAGCCCAGAAGACTTGATACAGAATCAACAGCATAAAAGAACCAGAGCTCCTAGCAGAAAACATGTGGATTTGCATTTCAATCTGGGAACTGATGGTATTTCTTTACACAAAGGGGCGTGGGAGTATGGAACAAGGTATCTGGCCATGTGGGTGAAGCTGTCTTCTGAAATCCTTAGATCAATACCTTGATACTTGAACAACACCTTAGATCAACTACCAAATGGGACAGATGGGCCAAATTGCCTTCTCTTATTTGGTAACATTCAGATATTCCTGTATGAAGTATGAACCTAGTAAGCAGTTATGAGTTACTATTTTA